GTCTGCAACTTTCAGAACAGGATAATGCATCATTGGAAAGTCACATGACCAAGATATAGGACATCCTTCTTGGGCCATTCATACTTCTTTGGGTTAATCTTGAACTTGTTCTGTCTCAGTCTCTCTGGGACTAATGCTCTTGTCAAGATACACAACTACAAACACATCCAACCACTCTCTGAACATATCATTCATGATAACCACATGTGGCATCATTGGAAAGTAGCAGGGCATTCGTCAGACTAAAGGGTATCAATGCGAGTGAACTCATAGTGACCATACCTGGTTCTGAATGCTATCCTGTACAGGTCCTCTTCTACAATCACTATCTGATGATAAGTGGCTCCCGCGGGCGAACGATTTGCATCCCTGCACTCTCTCTCGTAAATCATTTACCCCTGGAAGCGTTTCTACGTTCGTTACTGTGATGTCATTCAGTCCTCTATAACCGACACACATACACAATTCACCCACTTTCTTAGCAGCAAACAGCACTGGTGGTGTATATGGAGAACTGCTAGGTTTGATCCATCCTTTCTCAGTAAGTTCAACTAACTGCTGCTTCAGTTCATCTAACTTTGCAGGACTCATTCTCTGGATTGCTCCCTTAGGTGTAGTACTTCTTTGTTGAATCTCCATTCTATGCATAATCTCCTGTGCACTACTCCCTTAGGCTCCTGCAAATCCTTAAATCCGTCTATCAACTTCTGAATATGTCAGGGATCTGCTGTTCTTGCTTCTCCTCCTCCGCTTCTGTGATTTGCCTGCTTATCGCTATACACACATTAGCTGCTAAGTCTTCTTGCTGCATAAAATTGCCAAATTGAGTCGCAGACGTACAACATAACATTCAATGGGGATTGGCATATAGAAGGAAGGTGCAGGCTGACCTCCTTTCTCACTCTACTAGGATTAGTGGTAGTGCACGTCTTGTCTCTCATGTCTACATGTGAATGCACTTCTTATCCCCAGTCTTGACCCCAGGTCAAGTCGTAGTATCACCTGCAGTGCCTTGATCAATTGCAACACAACTTGCAACTACTTCAGCTGAAGTATCACTTGCACTGGCTTGTGGCTGCGAAGGAGAAGGGAATTGAAGCCAACTGAAGTCACATTAGTTGATGGTTGCACGCAGAAACGCCCTGACTATGGCATTGACTGTATGCCCATTTGCTTCACTCCACATGCAAGCGACGCCATTTCCTTTGTTGTGTTGAGGAAATCGTCCGACATGATCTCGGGCATGTCCTGCCTTCATAGCGAGAACCACCTGGTTAACTTCTCTACCAGGGGACTATTCAAGTTCGAGACATCTTCGGCAAGTTGGTTTCATAGACGGTTCCTCCTTCTCACCATTCTATTGGTTCCCACTTGGTTTCCTTCACGTGCATAGGCTCATCCTTTGCACGAGTTGAGATTGAGGAAATCAACATTTGTTTTCTTCGTGTTTTTCCTTCATTGGATGCTTCATTTGATGGACGTATCATTGGATCCATGCATCCTTGAGCTTCTTGACTCCTACATCGCCATCTTCGAGACTCCCCTCGAAGTGGTTCTCGACTGGCCTATCCACCGCGATATTATCCTCGAGGATGTCGACGTTCCTCTGCGTGGATGTAGTTACGACATGCGCGAAAAGGAGCTTGTCATGCTTCACACGTAGCTTGGTGACAGACTTACGAAAGGGTGGAGCACTCTTAGCAGTTCGCCTATGGTGCCCTTGTTTTTTTCATTGAGAAGAAGACAAGCCTTTGCATTGATTACCGTAAGCTCAATGTGCAAACGGCAAAGCATGTTGGCCCTCTCCCGTGCATCGGTGATCTTCTTGAGCGATTAGGCGACACAAAGTACTTCCCCAAATTGGACCTTAAGTCTGGCTATTATTAGATTGAGATCCACCCGCAGGACCGCTGCAAGATGTGGCATGGTCAAGTGGGTAGTGATGTTGTTCAGCCTCAGCAATGCCCTGATGACCTTCCAACTGGCCATGACGACTGAATTCCGGGCCACGTTGGATCAATTCTTACTCGTCTACCTCATGACATCTAGATTTACAGCCGGACTTTGGACAAGCGCATCGAGCACCTATGTGCCATTTGGATGGACTTCACAAGGCCAAGTGTAAGCTGAATAAAGACATGTGTGAGTGTGCTCCCCAAGAGCTCGAGCATGCGGGCCACTATGTTATGCCCAAGACAATCATCTGCTTTCGGACAAGATTTAAGCCATTCAGAATCAGCCCGAGCCAGTCAATACCACGAATGTTCGTCCTCGGTCTTGCTGCTACAACCAGCGCTTGTCGACAACTATACAGAGATCACTGCACATTTGACCCGGACTTCAGTCTTTAAAGGCGCCATTCAAGTTCAATGACCAAGTGTGTGCTGCTTTCGCACACTCCAGGCGACAATGCTCACGGCAGCTGTTTTGAGTAACTACAACCCCACCTGCCTCAAGTCACTACCGACACATCCGGCATGGTATGGGTGTGGTCCTTTAGCAGCATGATGGGACGAACTGGCATCCGATCGAGTACCTCAGCCAGAAAGTCCCTCCCATACACTCTGTCGATAACGCAAGGAAGGAGGAGCTGCTTGCGTTTGTTACTGTACTCAAGAGATGATGACACTTGCTCCTCGAGCGCCGGAAGTTGATGTGGATTACCGACAATAATTCACTTGTATTATGTAAGACGCGGGACACTTTTAATAACACAATCGCAAGTTGGATGTCTTTGATCGGTCCCTTTGACTTCACGACGAGGCACATTCTGGCCACAACCAATCGGGTTCACTGATGCTCTTTCTGATGATGCGACCTTTGCGCAATGACACACATGTTCGTGTCGAATGAGACCTTCAGCAGCACTTTGTGCGAGGGTACAAGTCTGCTCCTGGTGTCGGGCCGGTTTACGAAGCACTCTCATTGGCAACTCCACAGGCAGGCAACTACCACACCACCGGCAACTTCTCACTTCTTCGCATGTTCGGTAGGGACTTATTTTGTGTCCCTCACGATCGTCACCTTCGGATCCGCTTACTGGTCGAGTACCATGACTAGCACCTAGCTGGCCATCTTGGAGTCGAGAGCACGGTTTCTCGCCTTCGCCAGCGATTTTATTAGCGCGGCTTGGTGCCTGACATCCCCAAGTATTGTGAGTCATGCGAAGTTTGCCAGAGATGGAAACCTCATGACGGTAATCTCTATGGCGAGTTGTGAGCGTTACCTAGGTTTCAAATCCCGTTCAGCGGGAGCCTGACTTATCTATTGCGATGGACATCACCAGCCCTTTTCCTCGAAATCAGTTTGGGCACAATGACATTTTGATGGTGGTTGATCGATGGAGCAAATATGCTTGATTCCTCCTGTGCAAATATCACACTACAGCCACCACTCTCTCATGTGCATCTCTCACATCCGCTAGATTTGGAGCCACGGAGTCGTGGAGGATATAGTCAGCGACCGTGACAATCTGGATCCGAAATGAAGTGTGTGCACCTTGGGATAGTTTTCTGGAGTAGTAAGAACACAGTGTGCAAGATCTTCCTAGAGGGAGGAAGGCAGATGGACGTGCACATGGCTGTGGCCACATAGGTGGGAGCCTATGGTCAACGGAGATCAGCGAGAGACATGAGAGAAGAACTTGGGGGCTGTTCTTTGCCGGCTACTGGTTGTTGTTTCTCGCTCTAGATGAAACTTTGTGCTCAACTTGACTGGGATAAGAATTTGTGGACAGCGTTCAGGTGGTTGTAGGGAGGAGAGGCATTGGGCTATTCTCTTCTATCTCAATCTCTGCTTGCATCTTCAAGTGTTGGAGGTGGTTGTGATAACACTAATCAAAGTCAGGGCCCTGGCTCAGGCTGAATTTGACCTTGTGAGCAGCAGTATCCTCTCTCTCTCTCTCTCTCTCTCTCTCTCTCTCTCTCTCTCTCTCTCTCTCTCTCTCTCTCTCTCTCTCTCTCTCT